TAAAAATAGGTTCTAAAGTCTGATTTTGTGGTGGCTGTGCACGGTAAAATTAAATCATTATAATCTTAATTCAAGTGATGAAGGATTTTGATAGTCTGACAGTATCTTGACAGCGGTGGTCCCTGTTAAAATTTTTGAAAATGATTAACAGTTGAAAACAATCGTTAGAAATTTAGAACAGTCATCAAATGTAATCAGTTACTTTAAAAAAGTAATTGAAATAGTTACACTACTTATCACATTTTAAATAGGGTAACGTAACCTATTTCCAAAGTAACCTTCCCAAAACTGTGCACCAATTGGTCTGCCATCTCTTCTCTGATGAGGTGTTTACTGGCACGAGCAATAGCAAACCACAACCATCCAATTCCCTGTGGACAAAATCAATTCCCGCCCTACTAAAATAGGATTTAAAAAAAGATACAAGATACCAAACAAACCTCAAAAAGACAAAGCTTAATACAATTCCAAGAAGTCCAAATTGCAGCAAACAGAATAAATAAATAACATAAACCTAAAGAAACATAAAAAAGAAACACATAAATAAAATATAACAAAAGGGGGTTATCATCAAAAAATACATTCAGAAGATTACACATATGGCTCTTTTGCATGAGTCTTAAAGATTTGAAGAATACAACTTACAACAAATTACAAAGATTACAATTTGAAGGCCAACATCACAATATTGTTAACCAAATAATTCACCATCATTATTAAAAAAAGACAAATATTTTATAGATTTAAAATAAAAGTCTAATTGATATTTAAAACTTAACCAAACATAATGCATAATTTTGAGAATTTGCATAAATAAAATAAATGTTCCAATGATTCTGTCTGCTTCAAAAGGTGCACTCATTACAACCCAAATTAAATCTGTCTAAGGAACTCATTACAAGGATAAATATCATTCATAATTTTAAACTGAAGCTCTTTTACCTTTGCTAGAAGTGGGATAGTGAGAAATCCTGTTCTAATTTGAAACATTTTATCTTTAGGAAAATCAGAAACAAGAGGTCTCTTTCTAACTTTAGAAGGGAAAGTGTCTGTATATTACAAATGTTCTTAAAACTGTAATCTTACAGCTCTCCTTCGCAAAATTAAGACCAGAAATGATTTAATTACTCAGTCTTGGAATCGCAGGTGAATGACACAATGCACCTTTAACACTAGAACTCCCAAGGCAGTCATTTTGACCGTTTTAACATTTTGCAATGTAATACCTTTGTTGAAATAAAACCCATGTAACTATAGGACCCTGACTTTTCCTAAATGTGTCTATATTTTATTCTATCATTGTTATTTTATTAAAATTACAAGACACAAAAGAGTTTTGAGTATTTCTACCTTGAATGGCCATAACAGTCATACTGACCGTATGCATTACAGACCGTGTGTCTGTTGCTCCAAATTTTTCCCGCTCTTATAGATGCATCACCGTTGACTAGCAACAATTTCTCTTGTTGTTTGTTTAGTCTATTGCAAAGCTGAAATCTAGCTTTAGCTTCGAGCTAAAACCAAATTGAAATATTGAAAAGAGAATATCAGAACAATGTCAGCAAGAAGAATGACTGCCACAGAGGCTTTAGCCATGCTTCAGAGCCTTGATGAGGCTGAGTGGTTGTTGGTTAACTAATACATTTTTACATAAATCATAATTAAAATGTAGTGTTCTGATGTTTATTATTACCTATCCTAACATTACAGATCCATTTATTCTTAGATTTGATATAGCTTATTGAAATTATATGCAAATAATGTATGAGCAGTCAGAATGACTGCTATGGCCATTATAGTTATAGAATTCCGGGAGTCCTAGTGTTAACCAGCTGAACCAAACCATCAGGAACAGCTTTTAACAAAGAACATATCATTTCCGAGTAGCCTATAATATGGTATTTTTCACAAACATTGTCATAACTAGTTATAAGGACATTTCCTTCCCCATCCATAATGTGTACAGTGGACCAGAGCAGACACCTTTATCCATCCAGTCCTGAAAGAACACAGTTTTCCTATTAATAAGGATACACTTATTATTCCACAAAGAACAACGGTGTTTCCGATATAATAGCCTATGAAAAGATGGCTCAAACTAAGTCACACCTCAAAAGGAAATCAATGCCCCCAAAAGAATCAACGAAAATACTATTTGAGGTACGAATTCTAGGTTATAAATGAATCCAGTAGTTGGCAGAAATGAGCAGATCGCGCGTAGTGTTTTCCATTAGTACTAGAAGAACAGGAAGGACTACGTCATCGAGCGACTCGTGTATATAAATCACGAGGCGCACGCGTGTTAGGTCTTTCTGTTCTGAACTTCTGAAGTGGCGACGCAATGAGTGTGTGCAGAGAAGGTTCGAAAAAAAATATACGACTGATTATGGTAAGACGCAATGGACCCCGTTTCCACTATTTCACAATAATAATTTTCTTCCATACTGTGTTGTGATGAAATCTAAACTGAATATAGCTGGAATTACCGTCAGATGGTTCAGTGGTGATGATCGGTTTTCTGAGCACACTAATGTGGAAGTAACGTTACTTCCCACATGTGTGATCTGTTCCTTAACAATCTGTCTTTCTTTTGCAGATATTCTACGGAGACTTAACACATTTGTGGTGAGTTCTGCAGGAATGTTTTTTAAATACTGCCCTAGTTCTTTATAATGATGAAACCTAAACTGATAGCTGGAATTACCGTCAGATTGATCAGTGGTGATAAACGGTTTTCTGAGCACACTAAATGTGGACGAAGTTACGTACTTTACTCATGAATGATCTGTTTCTTAACTATCGGTCTGTCTTTTGCAGGTATTCTTTGAGGACTTAACAAATTTGTGGTGAGTTCTGCAGGAATGTTATTTAAATACTGCCCGAGTTCTTTATAATGATGAAACCTAAACTGATAGCTGGAATTACCGTCAGATTGATCAGTGGTGATAAACGGTTTTCTGATTCTAAACAAAATATTAAGCTTTTCCGAAATATGGCCAGCAAATGTAAATCTAAGTTGTCTCTTTTTTTTTTTTTTTGCCCACCAGATTTTAAACGAAGGGGATTGAGACTACGACTGCTGCTTTCAATTTTTTTTTTTTTTAGTTCCTTTGTGTATTATGAACTTCTTTGTATTGTAACTAAGAAAAACCTCAACCCAATTAAAGTTCTTTATCCACATTTTGTTCTAAATTGTTTCTGTGGGGGAAAATGTTGCCTACAATGCAGACGTGTTAACATCTTTAAAGTGATGGGTCTCCCAAAAATGAAAATTGACATTTACTCACCCTCAAGTTGTTCCAAACCTGTATGAGTTTATTTTGCTTAAAACAAAGATATTTTGAAGAGTATGGGTAACCAAACCGTTGTGGGGCGTACTATGGAAGTCAATGGGGTCCATCAACTGTTTGGTTAATTGCATTCTTCAAAATATCTTCCTTTGCGTACAGCAGAAGACATTTCTACAGGTTTGGAACAACTTGAATGTAAATGAGACCACTTTCATTTTTGGGTGAACTATCCCCTTTAACTTTTTTTTTTATGGCCCCCAGAATATTTTATTGTATATCTGAACATGCAATATGTATCGAAAGAACAGACTTTCTGCTTTTCAACAATCAGTTTTATTCTAGCTTCATGTATTTTTAGCACCACTTGAATGTGGGAAGGTTTCATTAATAAAAGCAACATTTTGAGCAAAAAGCTAAGAATTCAGAACCATGATCAAAATATAGATGGAGTAGATTTTAACACCCCTAATGCTCGCGGTCCTATAGCTTGTCCTGGGTTGACACTTCATTCAGTAAGGCAGTTTTGACTTATGGTGTTGATTATCTCGTTATTTTATTATGCAAATTATTACCTCTGTGATTGCTTGTTTCTCCCTCTTCGCATTTGTTTTGATCAGGAAATGCAGTACTTTCAGAAGATGCGTTATAGCACCCCCTAGCATATATCAGTGAAAACACTGAAAGCTGGAAAATTCCGTCAATGGCAGGGGAGATCGTGATTGTGTATGTTGTATACAATGGGGAAATATCACCTTTAAATAAGTGTGAAGTGGTTAATTGCCCTTCCCCATTTCTGTTGAATAAAAGCCTCAAGCAAGTCCAATACCTAGAAGAGCACAATAAACATGGTGCAAAATGTCTTATACTGGTGGTATGATTAAACTATGTACTAAAAATTTTTCACATACAGATGACAACGTTGTCAACTATCTCTATTAAACACAGCCATGAAAAATATGAAAACTATTCATTCCAGGCCAGTAGCTGGTGAGGTCACTTTGTAAAAAGAAACTATGGGCCTATAGACTGAACACGTAACGTCACCAAATTGGCGTTGTGAATTTGACAATGGTATAGTTTTCAAAAACGTGCACTTTGAAACCCGTTTTCAAAAGTTTGCCTTTTTAGGCCCCCCAAAACGCCATTGTCGTATAAATGGACCAGAACCATAAAAAAAAACATTTAAAAAAATATGGACATTGTCCGTGACGTAGGGCTGCACGATTAATCACAATGAAACCGCACGTGATTTGGCAAAGGCTGCGATTATTTTATGTGCAGTGCGGCTGATCAGTAGTAAATGCTGCTCCATCTGAACGCCAGAGGGCGCTCTCACACAGACACGCCAAATATGTCCTGCCGCTGAAGTAAGATCACGCATATCATTCCAGAAAATCCCTATCTGGCATCAATGATGTAGCTGAATGAAAAGAAGATTGACATGCTTTGATTAAACATGACTAATAAACACACGACTGCCATATTCTGTGTAAGAAGCCACATCATCACAGTTGTCATGAAGGGCAAAATTACCAATATAGACCAAAGCCACTTTTTGTACCCAACTGTAAACATTTCTTTCTGCTGTAAAGTTGGGCATTTTAACATGGGGGTTCAATGGGATTGACTCTCTTTTGGAGCCTGTCTCTAGCGGCCAGTCGATGACTTGCCGTTTAAGTCACTTCTGTGTTGGAATCAAGAGAGAGACGAAAGGTTGCCGCTTGGCCAGAACGCACAAGTTTTCCGTTTTTAATTCAAAACGATGTCATGTAAACGGCCCCTAAAAAGCTTTGCTACAATTGGTACCATTTGAGTTTATTTTATTAACACTCACGGACAATTATACATTTAAAGTGAAATTCACACCAAAAAAAGCACCCAATAAGCTCAATTCTTCCCACGTTCATAAACCATAAAGTATTTTAATTATTTGCCTTTACCAAACCAATATCTGTTTCAAAGAGGGAAACATACAATGTCTTCAAAAGTGAGATATAATGGTCAATCCATTTGCTAGTCGTCATCTTTTTCAATGTAGGGTTTCGCAGAAAAACGAGAAATTTGCCGGGCCAAGTATCTCTCTCTGGCTGAATTTACAGTCTGGTCACAGCTGCGTTTAGCAAATTTACTAGGTTCCTGTTTTGCTTCACCTTTATCTTCAGTTTCCATTACCTTTTCTTCTTCTTTAGCATTGTCAGTTTTCCCCTCGCTTATCTTTTCTTCATCCCCGATTTTCCCTTTGCTGTCCATTTTCTGACTTTCTCCATCCATTTTCTGGCTTTCTCCATCCATTTTCTGGCTTTCTCCATCCATTTTCTGGCTTTCTCCATCCATTTTCTGGCTTTCTCCATCCATTTTCTGGCTTTCTTCCTCCATTTTCTGGCTTTCTCTGTCCCTCAGATCTCGCTCTCCTTTGCGGTCCCGTTCTCTGTCCTTGGGGCTGTTGTCTTTTCTGTCTCGATCTTGTTGTCCTTTCCGCTCCCGTTCTCTATCTTTTGGACTGCTGTTTCGTCTGTCCCTCTTACCATGTCTGTCGTCTCTGTCCCTTTCCCTCCTGTCTCGGCCTCTATCCTCTTCTCTGTCCCTGTCTCGTTCCCTCTCTCTTCTGCGGTCCCTGTCCTCCTTTCTATGACTGTGCTTGTCCTCTCTCTCTCTGTCCCTTGTCCTCTCCTTCTCCTTTGTCCTATCCCTGTCTCTATCTTTGAGAGTTCTTTCTCTAATCTCTTTCCTCTCCCGGTCTTGCTCGTCACCACTGTCTGAATGAGGGGATTTTTGTCTGTATTGGCGTTTTGAGTGGTTGCCGCTTGTGGTTGTTTTATTGAACACTGCTCTGTTATCGCTCTGGTCCTCATCACTGTGGGATTCAGCCTCGCTCTCTCTTTGTTTCAGTGTGGGCTCCGGGGTCGGTGACCTTTCTGCTGGTGCAGAGCATGTGGCTTTGTCCTCTCTAAAACAAGTTCAGGTTGAAGATTAATAATTTTATTAGAGCTTTCACAAACTTTCAAATAGTTAGCAATTTAAAATGCGACGGGTAACAAAGAATACGAGTAGTTAAAGGGATAGTTCACTCAAAAATGAAAATTCTGTCATCATTTACTCACCCTCAATTTGAATTTCTTTCTTCTGATGAACAAAAAAGTAGTTATTTTGAAGAATTTCAGTAACCAAACAGTTGACGGACCCCATTGACTTCCATTGTATCCATACCCATAATCTTCAAAATATCATCTTTTGTGTTCAGCAGAAGGAGGAAACTCATACATGTTTGGAACAACTTGTAAGTGAGTAAATGATGACAGAAGTTTTATTTCAACCTTTTCAGATATATGATGCCGTTTGAACTGAACTCGCGTCTCATACTACATGACACATAAATGAACATTTAATTTCATTTAAATTCATCAACAGAACAGAAAATAACCTTAATTACAGTCAGGTTCTTCTGTATAGGAAAATGCAAAATACTTATAATTTGCTATGCTATTTTTATGTAAGCTTTTAATTATTTACATTTTTTAAAATGAATATAATTGCAGTTTTTTTTATGTTAAGCATATTTTACAAGGGGTTTGTAAACTTTTGCACTTATCTATGATAAACATATCCACTTTATTTGTAATGTTAGAGCAGGTGCAGCCATTTTGAACTTTTTTATAATCTGCAAGGATTCTGGTGTCAGCCACTTCCAGTTATTTTAGCAGTCAAAAAACAGTGCTTGATCATAATCATAAACACTGGTATTATTATCATAGTCATAAACTCTGGTGGGTAGCGCAAATAAAGAAATATCTTGCTTCCGTATTGCAAGATAAGGTGGATATGCCCAGACTGATCTCATGAAATGGCGCATGTATGACACGCCAATTCGTATTTCCATTTTTGGCGTGCTATCAGCACGCATAATCGCTTTTCAGCGTGTTTATCAACGCCGTTGACTTAACGTTATATTACTGTATATATAAATATATGACCTACCCCAACCCCGTCCCTAAACCTACCCGTCACTGGGGTTAATACCATTTATGAGTGTTCCCCTACCATCCTAGGAAAAAAAATATCGCTCCACAGATGTAGATCTACATTTTGCTTCGTTTCGCTCGAACATTTAACAGCGTGTACATACACGCTAGGGCTGTCAAAATTGCTCAAAAATGACGTTCGAATATTCCCTCTAAAAAATACCCATATATTCGAACTATTCGAATATCTGGTTGCGCATTTTGTCAATGACGCGCATTACGTTAATAACAGGACAAATTAATACAAAGAGACACAACTACTTGTATAGGTAGTTTATTTAAGTTTAAACATATTTGACAACGTATTAACTTACACAAAACCAAGTAAATCAACTAATGGCCAAGACCGCAGACCTTACTCTCGCTCGCACTCGCAGGCACTCTCTCTCTCTCTCGCCCTCACGCTCTCTGCGCATAACGGTTTAAATGAACAACAATAAACAAATGTTGAGTGCTGATCAAGAGTTTTGTGCAAGCAATTTAAGGTCGCGACTCTTGTCCTAAATATAGCAGGCTTCATTCGGTGATTGAAACAAATATTATTAACATTAATTTAAGTTTTACAGTATATAGAACCGACACTGAACGCTCCGAGCGAGCTGTGCTGTGGTAAACTCATGGGTAAACTGCTGCTAGCTAGCCTGCTACTATGGCTATTTCGAGGGCGTCTGGCCACGCCCCCATTGGCGGGCTCTGACGTGTCTGATGTAATGCTAGCTCATTGGCGCACACGTTGGAGGCGCCCGTGCCATTGGATGTGCATTTGACGCAGCACAGCCAATGAGTGAGCCAGACACTCACTGTGCTATCTGTCTGTGCAGCTGGAAAATGCGTTTTACATTTTAAGCTTCAGAATTTTGCCACTCGTAAAGCAGACAGCCACGCCTTTGCTACCGCGGGCGTGTTTTTCCACATGATTTGAATATTAATTTTCACCTTCGAATTTCTGTTTTTTAAAACTATTCGAATATATATTCGAATTTAGAATATTCGTTGACAGCCCTAATACACGCGGAATCACTCGGACATTTAACAGCGTGTACATACACGCAGAATCACTCGGACATTTAACGGCGTAGACATACACGCAAAAGATGACGGTTCGTTTCGGCGTGCACATACACGCGGATAGCTCAAAATGCGTATAGATAACACGCCACTTGACTTCAAAGTGGCGTGTATGTTTACGCAAAGTCATGATGTCATGTTGATATGCCTCACCTTTGAGCACTACGATCAGGAACTGCCTCTTCTCCGACTGTCTGATTGAGAAGATGTCTATAAAATCCACTGAGATCTTTTTGCTTCTTGACATCCAGTGCAGCTAAAAGTAAAAAAATAAAACTAAGTATGTCCATTTTAATACTCATAACAACACTGCATTACACTTCAAAAACTCACCTTCTAACGCTGCTTCCCTCTTCTCTCTCTCCAACTCTTCCTGTCTTTCTTTAAGCTTCTGGCGATAAGCTGAGGTGACAAAAGCCTCTTTATCAGCAAACATCTCGCCCTCTGCTTCTCTTTCCTTCTGAATTTTCCTCTCATCACGACGTTCTTGTTCCTTCTTTCTCTCCTCCACTGCACGGAGCAGCTGGTTAATATACTTGGGCTGAAAATGTTGAAGTGAACAATTAGCTATTGATCATAATGTATGCTACTTCAAAAAAATATTTCAAAGCATTATATAGTAATACAACAGCTATAGACTTATATTGATTTAAACTCAAGGTTCATCCACACCAAAAACAACTAGAACAATAAAAATAAAGTTTTAATAATCGTTCTAATTCTATGAAAATAGAGAAGTCCACACTATGACGATAACGACAAAGAGAAATTATTTCACTGAAATCCCTTTCAGAACCATTTTTATCCAGCTACTGAATGATAAAAACATAGACAGCCAGTCAGAATCCATCCTGCTCTAAAGAGCTCAAGCATTTAAAGTAGCAGACGACAAAACTGTAACTCATGCTTATAATAAACAGAACAATATCATCCATAGTGTAGATCCTGCTTATATAGTTATAGTAATCATTCTAGGTGTAAATTGGTATTAAGAATGAACAAAGCAACTTTTTTTGTAATACAATTTTAAAATATACCTTTTTATCTGTGCCACCTAGCAATTTTTTATTGCTTTCCAGTCTCTCTTTCTGAATATCATCATACACGTTGTCATATTCATAGACAGTGCTGTCCTCTTGAAGTGCCTTTTGCATCTCAAGACGGGTCTGAAGTGGGATGTATAAGAAAAGAACTGTTTTCAACACCATTAACCTCATAATTATGCAACGGTTTTTGGGATGTCTTCTACGCTCACCTGCTTCATCATCTTCTTTTTGGCTGCCTCCTTCTTCAAGCTCTCCCCAACAGAGGTCTACAATATAAGAGATTGCGTTTTATTACAGTGCACTGATTTAAGTGTAGAGAAAGTCATATTCAGATTCATAGAAGCTGTCACCTCATCATCAGAATCATCTCCAAACACAGAGGGCCGGGAGAGAAGGGCAGATTTTGATGCACTCTTCTGAGGCAAAATGAGTCCATACCTTAAATGCACACAAGACAGTATGAATGAATACGACTTAGTATCCATTGCAAGTAGTGGTTAACTAAAGTTTAGTTTAAGATGTTCATCTTATTTATTTATATATATATATATATATATATATATATACATAACCATTGTCTCTGCTGGGGGGAAAAATAAATCAGCTTAAGCTAGTTGGCTGTCGATCTCCCAGCCTGATCATAACTGCTATGCCAGTTATACCAGCTCAAAGCAGCAAAACACCGGTTCTGCCAGGCCGGGAGACCAGCTTAACCAGCAAAGACCAGCTAAACAGCGTAGGCTTGTTTTAGCTGTGTGTTTTTTTTCCCAACAGTGGTAACGTTAGCCAAGCAAACCACTCCCAATTTCATACAAGGACAGTTAGCAAAAAAAAAGCTGTAATAGTACGTAGAGCAAATTGGAGATTTTAGTCAAATGCAACGTGTAAATACTATTTATTTATGATTTATAATGTGGCTAATATTATTGTATGCACATGTGTTTTGGGGATAGCAGCATTAGCTCAGTGGCTCGGGCTATTTTGATTAGGTTATTATTATCAAGATACTCTTTAAAGACATGCACACACACAATCATCATTCCATCTCCAACATTATAAACGATAATTTCTTCATATGTCTTGAGTAAGGGGACAAAATAACTGCAAGTTAGGATTAAGGCACTTACTGTTTACCAGAGGTCGCCATCTTGCTTCCAAAACTATCTGGCTTACGGCAGATTCGATAATTTAGGAGATCAATACGACGTTAAAGCAACAAAGCAGAATCTGATTGTAATTAATCACAATTATTTAAAAAAACAACAACGATGAATTCAAATACCCTCTGTGTGATTACAAATTAGTTGTTCTGATTACGTTTACGTTTTTGTGAAAGTACCGTATACGAATCGAACGATATTGCTTATTTTTATGATTACAATTTGACCCAATTCTTTTGGGAGTGTCCACAAAACGTTTCACCAATAGAAAATATATGGAAACGTGAATATAACGGTACATTAATGGAGTTTAATCATGTTTAATAACTGAATTTACAAAGTAATACAAGGTGCAGAAAGTGAAAACAAATAGGCTACTGACGGTGGCGGTGCTATAAGTAGAAATTTGTTTTACTGTCACTATCTGCTAAAACTCTCAATGAAAGGAAAATGAAACTTAATTATTTAATGAAAGGTTTAGACGTTTAAATAGTGGCATTTAGAAGAAGCAATTTAAGTAGCCTACATTTATATTATATTAATACTTATTAAAATAGCATAAAATGAATATGCATAGTCAAGTTTCTATTGTAGGCCTATGCTAAAAAATAAACGATTGAAAACGATATTGCTGAAACGAAACTGTTCGAGTAGATACAGAACAGGCTGCCACTAGATGGTGACAATCTCTTTAATAAATCCATAAATAACCAAGAAACACACCCCTGGCAAGTTGCTGTCATTCTTACAAAACAGACAGTAGCTACTATTATTTGTATATAAATATTTGAATCTTATTGGTGTTGTTGGTGTTTTTCCATTATGTAAGACCATGTAGGCCTATTACAAAAGTTGATATGGTTAAAAGTCGGGTAGCATACACTTTTTGGATAACTTGTAATTGTGTACAGCTGTTCTTTATTTCTATTATGTGTATAGTTATAGATCCATAAATGATTTTTGTCTATTTAAAAATAAGAGTCGAAATTTTTTGCCGGTTTTCTCTATATGAACAGGTTTTCACAGTTTGTCCATACCTTAAATGGATGTTTTAAATGATTTAGTTAAATGTGGAATGGCATTCTTTCTATTGTATCTCTGCATTAACCCAGACTCTGTTACACCTGCCTTAATCCTAATCTCATTTTCTCTACCCTCTACTCTCTACTCTCACTGTTAATGCCATTTAGAGAGATTTGGGTAAATGCTGATTTGGTTGAATGGTTAGAGGCAAATAGAGCGAAAGGTATGAGAAAGTTTCCTCTAACAAATGAAGTTGTGTGTGTCAAATGCTTTGGGTGGCTTCATGAAGCAAAATAAACTGTAGGCCTACTATTCATCTTTGAGAGTATCACATGACCTACAAAGAACTGAGTTGCATTTGCTTTGGCATGTGTGAAGCAGCAGTGTGGGAGTGGAGGTTACGAGCAAAAGAAAAGAAAAGTCACAGCTTGTCTGTAAACCCATTTCCTGTCTGCACATCATCTGAGAAAACAGAGGTGTGTGTGTGTGTGTTGTTATTACAAAGTAATTAATTACTGTAATTTAATTACTTTAACCTTGAAAATGTAAAGCTATTATTAACCAATTAACCATAGATTGAAGCTTTAAAGGGATAGATAACACCAAAATGAAAATGCTGTTATCATTTACTCACCCTCATGTGAGGAAAAAAATATATTTAGATGAATGTTCGTTATCAAAGTGCTTCGGTTCCCTTTGACTCCCATTGTATTTTTTTGTCCATAAAATGGAAGTCAATGGGAAACAAAACTGTTTGGTTACCAACATTCTTCATAATATATAATTTTATGTTCCACAGAAGAGAGCAATACACGTTTGGAACGTCATGATGGTGAGTAAATGATGACAGAATTTTCAATTTTGTGTGGACTATTAAATTTGCTTTAAAGGCATTTCATTGCAGTTTATATGAATGTGGTATTTTTTAAGATAAACAAAATTATTAAGAGAAACACAACCTGGACCTTTTAAAAATGCTGTTTAACTCTTTATTTCACATGCTTGTTTAGTACACACACAGTTAACCATGGCTTGAGGCCACTGAATCTTTGACAGCTGGCGGTTCCGGCGCATGCGCAGAGGAGTCGCAGAGAGGAAGCGCGACAGAGAGCAGTAGCAACGGACGAGCTGCGGCTGATCTCCTCTGACACAATTATGTCTGTCTCGCCACCACCAGTTTCCCTCAGGTATCCGTTTACCGGAGCCTGAATGGCGTTGGTAACTGTGCAGCGGTCGCCTACTCCAAGCGCAACATCCAGCCCGTGCGTTTCGGTGAGTGACTCGCATCTTTTTTCTTCTTCTAACGTTACACCTTCCACAGCCTCGGTAGTTTTTGGGTTCATTTCCGCTGTTTCCTACGGTCCGTTTGTCCTCAGACGCTAGAGAAACACGCATGCGTGAAATATAGACTCGGAATTACATTGTTGTCCATATGGCTGGCTCATCAAATATCTGTCGAGCGTGTGACATGGGCTGTATCTCAGTCGTTGAGATTTTCTGCTAAATCTACCGGTTGTTTGCAGTGGCATGCCACAGACAGGAAGTGTTTGATAATAGCTCAAATGACTCAAAGCTTCTCTTTGACAATGTATCAAATAGTGATATTCATATGCAAAGGTGACTATGACGATGTGATTGGTCTTCAAACGAAAGTCGTCTCGGAACCAGGAAGTAAACACAGTTGCCCCCTTAAAAACTGAGCCAGTTATAGTAAACGGGCTGTCTGTAGAGTAGTAAAAATGTGGGATTATTAACGTCTAAAACTAGACTGAATAACAGGAGGCAGATTTAAAAAAAAAAAAAAAAAACGTAAAGCAAGGGTTTTAATTTTTTAAAATGTAAATGACCCCAATATTTGTTGATCCCCTTGTCAGGGACCCCTACCATATAGGCAGCTAAGTTATATGTTTTGATGTATTAAAACCCATTTATACTACCAAAGCAAAATATTAAAGCATGCCTACCTATTATTAGACATATAAACGTGAAGATAAGATAAGAAACATGACGAAAAGATAATTTTTTCAGATTTATTAGCATAGCTCTTTTCAAAATAAATATGATTTAAAAACTCCCTAGAAAAACAAAAAATGCAAACTATTCTTGAACATATACAAGGGTTTATACATTTGTTTTTCAATTATATGCAGCTTGTTTTATTTTATTACTATTAAAAGCAAGTTCTGTCAATAAAATAAATAAAAGGTGTGATAAGTCCTAATTTCCACAAGTCTTTAGACAGCAGAATGAATATTATAAAGTTCAATAATAATATAGTGTTACATGCAATACAGTTGTTACAAGAAAAACAATTAGTTTCTTAAATTTTCCTAACACCACTTGCAGCCTCTGTGGGTCCTTCCTTAGACTCCTGTTTGACATCATTTGAAATAAATTTGTATACAAAGAGAAAGGCCAAGAGCTATGATGAAGCAATTCGTTTTTACCACTACAGAATCATATTATGATATTTCACTGTTGTCTATTTAGTGACTGAAACTGCAGCCATGATGGTGCTTTTATAGAGTCAGTATGACAGAATTCGAAGGTTTGGTTCCAGGTGGGGTTGATTCAGGTTCTAGGAACCAATATCTGCTTTCACTATTATCTTCTTGAGCAGTACTTAACACCAGGTTACTTCAAAGAGACTTCCTTCCAACTTGTTTGTTAAAAATCATCTGTTAGGTAACCAGTGGACAAATGTTATCTCTTATAGGCAATTTCGTTGGTCTTATCATGTGACGACATCTGCGAGAAATCTCATGTGAGAGTGTCTTGTGAGACTCCTGTTTGATGTCTATGGTGTTACCAATACTATACATGCAACAAATCCAGTCTTAGTTTGCTGTACTATGCTTTAATACACAAACGTGAACTATGTGTATGACTATAAACTATTTGAGCATATGCATTGGATAGTCAAATATTTTGGAGGTCTAGATTGCCAGTCATTTTCTGCTTAAAACCAAATAATTCATTCAAACAGATTTCATGGAGTCAAACATTTCCATAATGCAAAACACTGAGCTTTCATTTGGGTTTATGTAAAATCATGCCCATCTTGGGTAATGTCTGACTGCCATGAGTAACTTGAGATGAATTGGTTCTCTGATAGCCCCGTCTTTTTTGGTGCGTTCAGTGCATTAATTTCTGAACATGGTAAATGTCATGCCTTATTGATGCAATGCATTTCAAATACAGATGTGGCTCTGTTTCATTAAAAACAACAATGTTCCCCCTGTATTTTTGCAATATTGGTATTGCCACACAACTGGTCTGGTGGAAGTTTCTTCAGTGTTTACTGAGCTGGTTATATCATTTGTATAAAACAAAACAAGTTTCGAAATATCCTGTCAGCCTTTATCATACTCTGTCTAATATAATAGTGCGCCTCTCGCTTCGTCTGTCTATGTTCTGGAATAAAGATGCATCATGCTACTGCGAACTGTTCATTTTAAAATCTTTTAGGCTTTAAACTCCAAATTCGTATTAACACGTTCAAATGCATTTAGCATGAAATCCCCATCTCTTCGGTTGATCATCTGCTTTGAATAATAATGTGGGCTTATGCACTGATCTGAACTGTTAGACCCAAATAAATGCTGCAGCATTTGAAAGGTCTAATAAGCCATTTAAGTTGGGTAGAATTTATTGATCACTGGTGAGAAAGCTGCATGAATTCTTAGACAGATTAAAAGTAGGTGTACAGAACAAGACATTCCCCAAACAAAATGTGGGAACCAATTATTGCACTTGTTCAAGTTATGGGTGATTTTTCAGTGATGTCCAATTAATAGATAGCAATGCAAGATGTCTGCCTCAACAGTACTTTTTTGTGCACAAAATAATCTGTGTATGCAAAAACAAAATTATGATTATTATTACTATGAATGGATTAAAGTAAGGGTCTCCACACACTTAAAAAAAAAAAAAAAAAATTGGGTGAAAATTGAAAATATGTGCAATACAATATTGAGTTAACTTCAACCAAATCTAACCTTTATGAAACTTTATAAAATGAAACACTCGATTTTAGTAGGTGTCTCTGCATGAACGGATATCTTTAAAAGACCCCTGTATTATACTACTATATAAATAAATGTGACTTGACTTGACTTGACTTGTATTAAAGATTGATTTTGATGCTAATCTTTACATTGCATTTTCGTCTTATTGTTTAGCCTCAGAATCCGGGTTTCCATAACGGATTTGCGCAAAACTTTTGCAATCATTTTATTTGCGAAATGTTGATTTTGAAATTACTGCATTTCCATTAAGCGATTTTATGCGAATAAAAATGAATTTTTTCCTCTCGCTACAACAAGTCATTCCAAAAACCATGGGAATGGATGTTGGTTTACGTATATCGCAGCGACTGCACTAGCAATTATTTTTAATCAAAGACATAGGTGTATTAATCAAACATTAAAGGGATAGTTCACCCTAAAATTCTGTCTTCATTCACTCACCCTCAAGTTGATCCAACTCCAAACCTGTATAAATTTCTTTGTTTTGCTGTACACAAAGGAAGATATTTTGAAGAATGTTGGTAACCAAACAGGGGGCTGTTCCATAAACCAAGATTAGAGTATAAGCCAGGCTTATTTCAGTTAGTCAGGCTTATTTTTGGTAGATTCGGTTTCATAAATCAAACTTAAAAAAGTTCAAACTCAGTTACCCTGGCAACTTATGCTGGGAAGCTAGGCCCTGGTCCAGGGCAGGCTAACTGTCAGCCTAAGCCTCAGTTGTTACACAGATCCTCAACACTGACTGACAAGAACACAATGATATTACCACTGACAGTCTCTAATACCATTATTGGACTTTATAAATACACAGTATCCAGAAAATCAACTTAAATAAGGCTACAATATATAGACAATATAGACGCATATATAAGGCGTTTTAAAGTTGTCCGTTTAGGACATATCATTTTTGTAATAAAGACATTTTAATTAAGGAATGCCTCGGTTATCAGAGAATTATTTCTCTACACTGTCTCTTTTTTATATATATATATATATATATATATATATATTTATGTACTTTATTATGTCTTTCAATTCAAACACATTTAACACAATTATACAAATGGACAGTTCCTTTAAAGACATCATATTTTCCCCCAATAAATATTCCTTATTTTTCCTTTTTCTTTTGTGATAATACCAACACATACATATAAATAAAACAATAAATAAATATGAATAAAAATATAACATTCACATATATCAAACTCTTATAATGAATGACACATAATTCCTAATAGTTATTCAAGTAATATTATTTAAATATCAAATATTCAATATTAAATAAGTAAATAAATAAAATAACAAATAACTAGAAATAAAAGGGAAGGTTACATAAAAATGTAGTTATTGTAGGCCAATATATATTCCTTTATTTAATGGAATATTCTTTGATTTTGGAGTTGCACATATCTTTTCAAAATGTATACATTTGTTCTTAATTTAATGTTATCCTCTCCATAATGTACTTTAGAAACTAAATCTAACCACTCATTTAAAACTGGGGATTCTTGCTTTTTCAAAAAAATGATTGCATTAAAAGCTGTAATTCTCAGCATTCTAAATAAGTATATATCATCTTTAAATAAAGTAGCATAGGTCCTATACCCAAAACTATATTTTGTATCTTTATATATTTAGTTTCTTAAAAAAAAGCTTCCCTGAATTAGGCTACTTCTGTTCAATTTCTTTTTTTTATTAGAAGTATAAAATGTATGAGTGTAATGAGCTAGAAGTTTACTGCAACTTATCCAACATCCTAAAGAGAAATTATTATAATTAGAAGATATTTCTAGTGTTATAAAATATTGCATATTAATTTTCCAAGCAAAATGTATATTTTAGTCAGAATTATTGCGCTCCTATTTGGCGCGCAGCAGCGCTCGTTCAATATGAAGATTAGCAGCAAAATGGATACATTTGTACGACTTTCTAACATTTACAGATGGAGAATATAACTGTAAAATGTAATTTTTGCACTGAGGGGGGAAAAAAACATGTCACAAACGCATAAAACAGCACAAAATATACGCTGTTTGATGGTGGATCGATTTGATCCACGATCGACCTCTAGGGCTGCTTCAGAAACGCGTGCACACGCAATTATCTAGACTAGATAAACCTGGATCAAATTAGTGAGATTGCGTGAACTTCAATTACCTTTTATGGAACCACTTTAGCCCCAACTTATTTGTTAGGCTCATTCAAGTCCGGTTTTGGAGTTTAATCCCCGCTTTTCTAAGCTTCATTTATGGAACAGCCCCCAGATCTGGGCCCTGAGATCTGCTTGGTTACAAACATTCTTCAAAATATCTTCCTTTGTGTACAAGCAGAACAAAGACGTGTATACAGGGTTGGAACAATTTGAGTGAGTAAACTATGACAACATTTTTACTTTTGGGTGACCTAGGCCTATCCGTTTATTGGCAAGGATGGCAGTTTTGCGAAATATTCCTTTTTCGAATTGCCTGAAAAACCTTAAAAACTTTCTTGTGACATATGGTTTTCCATTGGGTGTATCTTAAATTCGTAATTTCAATTTGCACAATTTGAAAGGTAATGGAAAAAACGCAGCTAATTTTACGACCAGGGGTAATATGTTATGCTACAGATCGATAAGAATAATAAATCTGTTTCCTTTCTTTTTTTTAAGGAGTCTGGCAGTGGGGAAGATGACCGCCGGTCTCAGCCCAGAAGGTAAAAGAAAAATTAATTCTCAATGAAGCCTTATGTCATTTAATGCAAACTGATAGGCCAACTTTTTTTTGCATTTTAAATACAACTGACTGACTCAGTAGGTCATTGACAAAACATTTTTAAAACAAAACATGCAAATCTTACCATTTCCTTCAAATTCTATCCTTCAAAACGCAACGGTATTTTTCATAATGTTTGGAAGATCACAGAAGAGGAGGATCATTAGGATAATGTCTGCCTGCACACGACGTCAACGCAATGGTTGTACAGTATTGTCATTGGACCTATATTCAAACCGGACAATCGACCGGTTTACCAACCGAACGAATCCAGCAGTGTCTGCCATAATATCAGTCAAGTGCGCGTCATTGATCATTGTTCTCGGCAGAAATGTTGTTGTTTTTTTACACATGGTCTAGACTAGAGTATGCGGGTGGTGTGGCTGGTGTTGGTCAAAAATGACCTAATTTATTATTTTTTTCTCAATGAAATGAATGTACTAGGCTATATTTTAGTTCTATAATGTTTTTTATATGTTTGTATATGTTATGTTTGTTGTATTTTTAGGGATTTTATGGTACTAAATTATATTTACGCTGTAGTTATAATCCATTTATTAAATTTTTGTGCATAGATCTGAACAGGGGCGGTTTCTTCATTAGGGCGATTGGGCGACGCACCACCAAAGTGTAAAAGTGACTTTTTCAATCACATTCACAATCTCATTCAACCACAGAGTTACGCTAGCCGTCACTATAGTCCAATCAGCGTCATGTCACGTTCTGTAGAGTACCGCCTCTTTTTGGGCGATTTCACTATGGCTGAGAATCGCCCAGAGTGTTCCCATAGACTTGCATTCAAAGATGTTTTTTTTCTAACTGCAGGCACTGCAATGCATTCTCTATGGGTTCCGGGAGGGCTCGCACTAACGTGCTTACGTCATCATACGTATCCTTAACTTGTGCAGCGATTGGTGGGAACAAACACACACTATTAAAAATCTTTAAGATTAAGTGACAAATAATATTTGAAAACAATTTTGAATTTGAATAACAAGAAAAAATGAAACACTACTATAATATCTTTATCAAATGTGATTAAAAAAATAAAAATAAAAAAGAACGAGAGCGAGAGAGACTGTTGGGACCAGTTGAACTTGAACAACGTCATGGCGAACGCAGTCATAACACAGTCATTTATCGTGTCATTAAAATAAATACCATTCAGCCCGTCGTAGTAATCAGCATACATTGAGCAGGAGCAAGTAGCAACAGGAACAACAAGATCTAGGAGGGCCTTGGGAGAAGAAGACAAGCAGAGGCTGTCTAAAGAGGTATTTATTGCTGAACATTTTAATACTCGAGTGTTGGAAAATCTCACTTTGTTTTTACAATCAGTTTAGGAAAGGATGGTAGCAGTCTTTTTTACTCCTAGCATTGTACTTTGAAATTTGTACATTTCCATTCGAACACCAACACAATCTTTATCCTACATGTCAACGATTCAGTCAACAATATTATTTGTCGCCACCTAGTGGAATCTTTAATAAAATAACTTAAACTATCTGAGTGGATTGAAAATACATTTACTGGTCAAAAACCCTTGTCAAACTCCATTTGAGCTTGAATTTTGGTAAAATGTTAATTAACGTAATAACACACACACACACACACATCATCAGCGCTGTCGGACGGAAGCCTTGTATGTCCAAAACTGTTACTTTTCAGGAAACGAAAGAAAACCTGTTTTTCCCCCAAAATAATTCCCAAGCTCTTTTAATGCTTTCCATTGGTAAAATATTTGTAAAACACATTGACAGATGTAAAGGGTGACCAATAGCATTCATTTTTGAAAAAATAGGGAAATATACAATATGGATTCTGCCTGATACATTGTTGCTGTCGGGATGGAAACCTTGTATCTCTATATTTATATTATAATAAATAATTTATTTTATAACTAAAATAAATGTATTTATTTTGTCAGGTCTGCGACACAATCTTAAAGTAAAGAAGTTGCCTTTACATGCTTAAGCTGTTAATTTATCAATTGCATGGGTGGACCTTATCCTTATCAATAATCCAAACATTTGCCCCCCCTGAGAGATTTTGCAGGAGCCGCCACTGGATCTGAAAATGACATTTAAAACTTAAACTGTCGTAAATCTTGAATGCTTTAGAGTACAGACTTAAGTTTGATCTCTTTTCAAAGACGACACTTGGCAAATTATTGCTGAAGTGTAAAAAAGTTTAAACAAGTGAACTTAACAAAAGTTACAGAATTTTACGTTTATAGTTATGATGAAAAATGCACAAAAATACTATTTTCAATTTTTATATTAAATATATATACTTCAAAATGAAAACTTAATTTAAAAATTAAAATCAAAGCCATAAATCTAAACAAGTTGTGTTCCATTTTTGAGCTTGATATCTCAAAAAAATAGCTTTCAGTAAGATTTTGTTGGACTGCAGTACCAAAAGTTTTCAGTAGATGAAATTCGTCTCCCATTCATTTCAAATGCGTTCATTTTTGATCGCGAGGACCACAAGTGTGACTATTTTATTCAGGACCATTTAATCTTTTCGAATCATGTCCATGATTTCTATTGTGTTCACATAGCAAGTGCCAAAACCTTTACCTATAAATCCTGATATCTGTGTGGAAAATTGCATATGCAGATTTCAATGCCCTTTTGTGCGCACACAACGTTTGTACATCAGGCTCCAGGTGTAAATGCCCTCCGAAACACTTTCAAGACGGATTTAAATCAGATCACCCAAACCACTTCAAGAGGTGGTCTGAGTCGGACACGCATTCCAAACGAAACTACTTGTTGTTGAAACCAGATGCATTTACATATGTACAGTTTACATACCGGTATGTAAATTTACCATAAGTAAATTTTACTCCTCCCAAAATGGTTAAAAATAAACACATATGTAAATTTTACTTCTCCCAAAATGGTAAAAAATAAACACGTGAGAGCGTCTTATTGGCTACATGAGTTTTAACAGTACAGAAGGATGTACAGGGTTCATTATTACAGAATATACATTTTTCTATCATGTTCTTCTGTATCACTGGGCCTCAGATGAGATAATATTAATAATGTTATAAAAAGCTGGTCTGAGTGTTCATAATCAAAATACATAAAAATGCACATACTGCTTGATGTATTCTTTATATTAATCCAGTAGTTTTAAATACAGTTTTAACTGGAATGACAATTGAATGTATTGATAGATTGATAGATCTTTGAGGTACCCATGTGAAGATGTTACAAAAGGCTTGCTTTCATGTCACAAAAGTTGTCCATTACGCAGTCACACAAACAAGGACCTTCATAAATTCTTTCTAATTACTCCTAATTTATGACATAATGGCAATACATTGTACATAATAAATGTTTGGTCCCATTTATTATACTGATCAGATAATGTGAGACAGATCCTGATAATCAATATCGCTGGTTATGTGCTCAGGTTTGCATTTTAGCGAGTACGTTTGCAGTGAGTGCACAGAACAAAATTAGTCAATGGATAAAAATCTGGATGATGATAAGAATGTGTATTAGCTTAGAATTTCTTGCGGCAAAACTATCAACTACTATATTCTGTGATCAAAATTCATAGCAGAACTGTGTAGTAAATGCTGTGGACAACAAACAATGCTTTGCTAGTAATGTTCACTGTTTATATAAGTTTCACTGATAAGAGCGATATTTGTGTTTTGATGGCCCTAGCGACCTGGACTGGTTTGAATACATTGTCATAGCACACTGTCACATGACGGGCAACCTAAATGTTTACACAGGCCTTGTGTTTCACCTTTGGTTTAGGATTTCATTAGCTCAGTCAGTCACAACAAGGGAAACTGGGTAGGACAAAGGGCGAGTGCGACCCATGGGAAAAGACCTATCCTTTCCCCTACCAAGGGCTCTCATGATTGCTATGATTACCAAAGGAAATTCCATCATCTTTCCTTTTTTACCAGAAGATAGGACAGCCTCGATCGAACACTGCTGTACCACGCTCATATTCATCTAATAGTTTATTTATAAGCACTTATTGCAATTTCCTCACTTTTATTGTAGCTTCCTCCTATTGTATAGCTTTGTTTGAGAGAATTACATGCCATAGTCCCTAGTCTCGTGCATTCAGATACAGTTTAATCTGTATAGACACTGTCTAGATTTTATGGTTTCTTCAGTTCATTTTTGGTTTATCACAGGGCGTATCAACTTCTAAAATAGTTATGTTAGCCTTATTAATAGTCATTTGGCAGATTATTATTACTTTGTAAAAGACTTTAAAAGATTAGGACATATTAGAATCCATTTCCAGAGAGCTCTGAATCCAGCTTGTGTGTTTACTCTGTCGGTTGATAAGGAGTCTTCTGTCCACTAGACTAGAGCACGTGTTCTGACTCCGCCCACCGTCTCAGTGTCTGCCTGTTTACTCGTGGAGCAGATGGATACACTAGAGATGCGAACTGAGACTACACAAGGAAAAAATGTTTTTAAGGATGACTTGCTAAATTTGCTCTGAATACGTTTATCCGTTCAGTCACTCAAAAGCTCAGAAGAACCTAGTAGTTGCTGGTGTGTTTTAATCGTTTCTTCAGCATGTGGTAGAAGGATAGAAAAGCTCTAGTGAGGGTTGCCTCACCACTGTCCGGCGTAAAGGATGACTTTAGGTGGTCTGGCGACTGCTTTAAGCAGCTCCACAGAATGCCTGTCTGCACACGATGGAATACAAATACTCCTGCAAAGCGGCTTTATGTACCAGGACAACATCAACCGGTTGTAAGTTTGAACAAGATCAGCATATGTTTTTATCATTGAAGTTTATGGAGAAGTCCTTTTCTGTTTTCATCAATTTTTTTCTTATTTATTTTTCTCTTTCATTTTATTGAGTTTTTTTCTTTCTTTGTTTTAATTTCTCTTTGAACCTCTTTTTTTGGAGTTCTTTTTTAATATATTAATTTAATTTATTTTT